AAACGTCTTATAAACATTCTAGCCAAATATTGCAATGAATCTTTTCAATTTCCCTGAGATTCGCGAATTTTAGCTGTGGGGTATGTTCAGCAATATTACTGTAAATACTCTGAGGAGTAATTTCTTCACACATCTTAACCCTCTAAGACCTTACCAAATGGGACTTTTTGTACTTTTTTCAAAACGATGCAATCATTTTAGCTGTGAGGTATGTTCAGTAATATTACTCTAAATACTATGAGGGATATTTCTCTATAACATATTAACCCTCTAAGACCACACTAAAAGGTACTTTTTGGCACTTTTCTCAATAAAAGTCTTGTAACCATTATAATCGATTGTGCTACTGAATTTTCTTAAGATTTCCCTGAGATCCGTTCAATTTAGCTGTGAAGTATGTTCAGTAATATTACTCTGAACACTATGAGGAGTATTTCCTTCAAACAACTTAACCCTCTAAGACCTCATTACAGAGGACTTTTTGGTACTTTTTCCAACAAATGTCTTATAACCATTAAATCCGAATATATCATTAAATTTTCTTATGATTTCTATGAGATCTATGCATTTTAGGCATGGGGTATGTTCAGTAATATTACTCACAATAGTCCGAGGATAAAATTTGTGGAACACATAAACCCTCTAACGTACCTCGGTAGGGGTCTTTTTGGTACATTTGTAAAAACTAGTTTACAAAACAAAAAAAACTGTTTTGTGAAAAAATATCGAGATTTGCCGGAAATATTTTCATTTTAGCTATGGGGTATGTTCAGTAATATTTCTCAAAATAGTCTAAGGATTAAATTTGTAGAACAAATAAATCCTCTATGGTACATGGGTAGGGGTATGTTTTGTACATTAAAAAAATTGGCTATTATAACCGGATAAATCTTTGCCTTCATTTCTGTAAATGTTTCGGAATTAGGTTAATTATTGCCCCAGAACTTCATTTTAGGCCGATGATACCAATAGAAAAAATATTCTACATAAAATTCTATGATCGGTCTCTGAAGAAAAGAAATCGGTAGCAATAATATTTATACTAGAAATATCGGTGGCAACTTGGTGATGTAAATCCGCCATCTTCTAGTTTAATTTTGATGATTATTTTCAAATTGTGCTATTTTTTCGAACAAGACTTTACTTTAGAGAGACGATATAAATGAAGAAAATATTCTCCACAAAATTTGACTAGAGGTCCTTGAATAAACGAAATCTGTAGCTTCAGTGTATATCAAAATAATGTTGTCCAACATATGGGGACATTTTTATAACCATTATTATTTATTATGTATTTTATGTTACAAATTTGTTGGCTATATTTTCTAGATATATATTCCACATATTGATTTCTTGTCCTCGTAGACCCATAATAAAATATTGTTTCGAATATATCTTTCCTTGCTAACACCCCCCTAAGCTTAACGGAAATCCGTCATTTAACTACCCCCATTAAAAATCCAAATGTAATAACCAACTGTTAAAATATTTTCTGTACAAACTGTGCCCACGCATTTGTGTACTAGTGGTGGTGGTTGTCTTAGTGTTGGTTAGAAACCTCATTTTATTTTGTTATTGTGTGTGTAAATGTCATTTCATTTATTTCCCTCACACTAACACACACAGACTGACAGACATAACGCGCGCGCCGCTTCAAGACGTTTTAGGTTTCACACTTTTAATTATGCCCAAGTAGAAGAAGAAATGTGTTTATAATTTAATTACAATTTGTACAAAACTAAATGATGCTAACAGATGACGTAGGATAATGTCTTTGGTTGACTGTGTGTGTTTTTTTTCTTCTCCTTCGGCTTCTTTGTGTTGTTGTTGTATATGTATAAATCCCCCCTCAAAGACGGACTATGAAACGCAATGAAATACGAAACAGTGTTAATTTTGCTGTTACTGAGGGTATTTAAAAAGAATTTATGCGGAATTTGATTTTTTTTTTGAGAAGTGGCGGAGAGAGGGGAAAGATTTTTATTTAATGAGACGGCAGGAGAGATTTGTAAGATGCGGAGGAAAATTAAATACCACATTTAACTACTGATGAAAATAAAAAGACGTTTAAGGTACTTCTTCATAAATACAACATTAATACAAAATTCCGTTTTTGTATAGCCACTTTCTAGGTTACGTATTGTACCTACAGATTTTCTATGTTCGGTGACTTATAGTGAAATTTTATGAGGAAAATGTTTTTCTTTGCGATCACTCCACTAAAATGAAGTTTTGGGGGAAATTTTACCTCCTAATTGAAAATGTTCAGAATTAACCTCAAAGTTAAATATATCCTATATATATCCCCATATATATTGATATGTTATAGGTTATAAATTATAAATACCCAAAACTTTTGTTTGGTGACCTATAGTAGAATTTGGTGAGGAATATTTTTCCCATTAGAGATTTACTTCTATCATGATTCGTTATGCCTTAAATTGCCCCATTAGAAAAACATGTCAAAATTAAACGTCTTGTTTGTATATCTCCATTTGAAGGGACATTTTCTAGGTTATATATTATATATAGAGAATTCTTGTCTTTGAGGACCTATGATAAAATTCGATACGGAATATTTTTTCCATTGTCAACCTACCCCTAAAATGACAATTTGAATTATAAATCGCATCCAATTGGAAAAACCTCATAAATAAACCCTATTTTATTCATTATTATATATCCCCGATTTCTAGTAACATTTTCTATGATATATATTATAGCTACAGATTTCTTGTGTTCAATGACCTATACTAGAATTTTATGAGGAAGATATTTTTCATTAGCATATATCCTCTATCATGATGGGTTATGTCTGAAATTGCGTTATTTTGAAAAAGGGCCAAAATAAAGTTTATTTTTTCTATACCTCAGTTTGTATGGATATTTTCTAGGATATATATTATATATCCGGGATTCTGATGTGGGGTGACCTATAGTGAAATTTGATAGGGAAGATTTTTTTCCATTAGTAATATTCCGCTAAAATGAACTCTAAGTGGTTAAATTGGCTTTAGTTGGGGAAAAGTGCAATAAATATATAAATATTTCTATGTCCCACTTTGCATTGCTATTTTCTAGGTTATGTAGTCAATCTCCAGATTTCTTGTGTTCTGTAATCCATAGTGAAATTTGATGAGGAAGACATTTGCCATTGGTAGCATTCCTCTAAAAGGGTTTCGAGTGGGTCAAATTTGGTCTAGATGAGGAAAAATGCTACAGAAATAGAAATATTTCTGTATCTAAAGTTTCATCGCTATTTTCTAGGTTATATAATCAATCTACCGATTTCTTGTGCTCGGTGACCCCTATTGGAATACTCTAAGGAAGATTTTTTCCATTGGTAACATCTCGCTAAAGAAACTTTTAGCTGGTCAAATTGGCTCCAGTTGGGAAAAAGAGCAACAAAAATATAAATATTTCTATATCTCACTTTTCATCGATATTTTCTAGGTTATGTAGTCGATCTCCAGATTTCTTGCGGTTGTAGACCCATATTGAAATTTGATAAGGAAGATTTTTTCCATTAGTACTATTTCGCTAAAATGAAGTACAGGGGCTCAAATTTACATTTATTAAGGGAAAATACAATAAAATACAATTATTTTTATAACCTATTTTATATTCCTATTTTCTAGGTTATATATAACCTTTTTTGCTTTGCTTTTTTCTAGGTTATGTATTCAATCTACAGTTAATTTATGGTTGCAGAAAAGTACAATAAAATAGAAATATCTTCATAACCTATTTTCCATTGCTATTTTCTAGGTTATATGCCAGTTTATAGTGAAATATTCGGTAAGGAACATTTTTTCCATTGGTAATATTCCCCTAAAATGAAGTACAGGGGCTCAAATTTGCATTTATTAAGGGAAAGTACAATAAAATACAAATATTTTCATAACCTATTTTCCATTGCTATTTTCTAGGTTATATACTACACCCACCGATTTCTTGTGTTCGTTGACCCATAGTGGAATTCGATAAGGAAGATTTTTTCCATCAACACAATTTCCCTAAAATGAAGAATACTGGCTGAAAATGTCCCTTATTCAAAAACATTACAAAATTCTAATTAGAATTGCATTCATCTTAAAAAGGGGCTTCACACTTCAAGATTTATTATCAAACAGTGCTACCTATTAAAAAAAACTCCCTTTTAATTTATTTTTCTCAATTTATTTGCAATTAGAATCTTCAAACGCTAACACTAAGTCCAGAATACGATTAGAGAATGTTTTTGACAGTTTTCATAGTTTCGTTCACGGCTTCTGCGCTTCTCTCTGGGTTTTCTTGCAAATTAAGCGAAAATTTCCACTTAATATTTTATGAATCTGTTGACACTTGGTTGGTTGGATGGTTAGCTGGCGGATTGCTTGAAAACTTTCTACCATGGAAACTTACTTCATTATTTGTTCCTTATTAATTTTCTTGTTGTAGCTGCTCCTCACGCCAAATGAGAGTGATTTTCTTTTTGTTTGTCTTTAGCCCTAGAGTTGAGGATACAGCCCAATGAGAGAGTTTTTTTTGAGTAAAACGAATGACATTTTTATTTTCAGTTATTTATTTTTAAAACCTCACCCCTCTCCTCACGATTTACTTCCATGGAAATCTTGGGCTGAAAATCTTCTCCTCCTCGACCAACAACAATATCAATTTACTGGGTCTCTAAGAAAATAACCCCAAAGAAAATTGCGCGAAGAAGCTAAAAGTTGTTAGTATCTTTGGTAATGCCACTAACCCCCCTTCCCACCCCTCTTCACACACTTCAAGTCCGGGACTTCAAAATGAATTTTTCATTTAGCCCTTCGTTGTTGAAGAAATGCGTACGAAACAAAAAATTGTTTTTCCTTCAAACTTCGAACTACTGGCTGTTTTTCGCTGCGCCTTGGCTTTGTTGTTTTTGTTATTTTCCAGTTTCTTATTATTTTATTTTTCCTTAGCTTTGCTTTCTTTGTGTAAAACTCATTTAAAAATAATTAAAACTTGTGAATAATTACCTCCATTATTGGCATTTGCCAATGGTGATGACAGCGATGTAGACGATGATGATGGCGAGGATAGCGATGTGGCTGCCTGTGATCCAATGGCCACGGATGAGGCTGACGTTGACTGGAACGCCGAGGAGGAGGCTGCCGCCGCCGATGATGAGGAGGACGCCGCAAACGATGATGGTAGGGAAGAGGTGGCCGTTGTGGTGGGTTGTCCGGTTTTTGAGCGTAACAGGGAGTTGTGTAATTTCGATAGATCTGTGTTGGTGCTTTTGGCTGCCGTAACTTCGCTGGCCTCATTGCCGACTAGAACTGTACAGGGGGCAGAGGGAGACCAGTGGAGAACACCAAAACCTAGCAACAAAAAACAAGAAACAAATAATTAATCTTCCTCCAAGTTTTTTTAATTTGATTTCCCAAAATTTCCTTTTCCCCAAATATTTTTTTTTTGTGAAAATTCCTCTTTTTGCCCACTTACCTGTTAAAAATATTAACAGCACACACATGGCCACAAACACCGATACGGATACAATGGCTATACATTTGGCCGAACATCGAGCGGCCAAATCTTTACGGAAATTCATTGGGGCCGAATAATGGTGTGAGGGTATGCCACTCATGACACTGCGTGGCGGAAGCACTGGACCCAGGCATTGATTGGCCGAACGTTCATAACCTTTCAAGGTGTCCTTGGTGGGTGTCGAACAAGTCGAACCGCTTTTATAATCGATGGGTGAACCTTTGTTCATGTCTGCAAAGAAAAGAGAGGGAGAGGGGGGAAATTAGTAAATAGAAGATATAAAAAAATATTAGATGGAGTCATATAGAATATTTAAATTTTAAGGGATATGTGTTATATATAACAAATTCCGTTGCCTGGGAACCCATAGTGAAATTTTATGGATAATATTTTTCTCTTTGACATAATCGCCCTATAATTATGTTTAAGGGCGGAAAATTGGTAAGAAATTGAATAACTACAAAAAATCGACCAAAAACTATATACCCAAATTCCAATCCACTTTTCCCTATTATATAATATAGCTATAAATTTGTTATCCTCAGCGACCCATAGTGAAATTTTATGGACATTAATTTTCTCTTTCACATCAAACCCAAAAAATCAGCATTTGGTTGGAAAATTGGACCAAATTAAAATTTAAAAGAAAAAATGACCAGAAGACACATGTTTTTGTATTTGAGCAACATTTTTTTGATATTTCATAGGTATATATAGTAAGTACCGACTTCTTGTGTTCTGAAACCCACAGTGAAATTCGATGGAGAATATGTTTTCCATTGACATTAAGTCACTAAAACTAAGTTTTGGTCGAAAAACTGGACCAAATTCAATTGATAATGAACTTTGCCTAAAATATACAGGTTTTCGTATTCCAACCGATATTATATAGTTATATTTTATATATACCGATTTTTTGTGTTCCGAGGCCCATAGTAAAATTCAATGGAGAATTTTTTTTCATTGGTACCAAGTTCCTAAAACCAAGGTTTGGTCGAAAAATTGGACCAAATTCAAATGAACATGAAACAAAAAAATATAGGTTTTCATATTCTAAGCGATCTTTCTGTACTATATATCATATATATATATATAATATATATATATGATCTGAAACCCGTAATAAAATTCGATGCAGAATATTTTTTCCATTGACATTAAGACCCAAAAACCAAGTTTTGGTCGAAAAAATGGCCCAAAATCAAATGGTTTAAGAAAAACGACATTAAAATAGATGTATTCGGGTTTCTAAACGATTTTTCTATGCTATATATTATATATGCCGATTTCTTGCGTTCTGATACCCATAGTAAAATTCGATGGAGAATATTTTTTCCATTGATACCAAACCCCAAAAATTACTTTTTGGTCGAAAAATTGGACCAAAATTAAAATATATATATAATTTATTTAAAAATATATGTTTTCACATTTCAACCGATATTTTATGGATATATGGTATATATACCGATTTATTGTGTTCTGATACCCATAGTAAAATTCGATGGAGAATATTTTTTCCATTGACAGCAAACCGCTAAAATTATATTTTGGTCGAAAAAATGGCCCCAAAATAAATGTATTTACAAATTTTACCCAAAACAATAGATTTTCGTATTCGGCCGATATTTCATAGCTATATATTATACATACCGATTTCTTGTGTTCGGAGACTTATAGTGAAATTTTATGGAGAATAAATTTTCCATTAACATCAAACCCGAAAAATTAAATTTTTGTCGAAAAAATGACCCAAAATTAAACATATTAGCAAATTCAAACACAAATTTATTTCTTTAGCCGTACGAATAGGGCTCCTTAGGTCTGAAATCTACTTTTTCCAAAAGCCCTATAAGTTTTTGTGTTATTTAAATCAATCAATCAATTTCATTCTCCATCAAACAGCCAGGAAGAGAACCTCCCTGCCGAAGAAAGGGGGTTAGCAAAATCAATTAAGGAGGGCTAACACCAAAACTTTTCGGTCTTATGTCCGATTACCATGGAAGTGGAGGGGTGGGAAGGAAACCCATTAAATTCACACCTAATTCCTGACACGTAACTATTCATGTTTTTTCTCTCAATCCTATCAAATCTCCAAACCAAACATGCAAGAAATTTTCATTCATTCTTTTGTTTTTTGGTTTCCTACAAAAGAAGAAACCAAAGCAAAAAAGGCGAAAAGGGGAAGTGAGTGGGGAAAAGCGTTAGTTATAGTTTAGGGAAAATGTGTATATTCTATTCCCTTGTTTTGCCTTCGTCCTCCGTTATCGTTTTAGGATACTTATTCAGATTAGGTTTTTATACCCCAAAAAAATGGAGGATATGCTGGGCAAAAAAAGAAATAACCGAAAACAAAAAAAGAAACTTGTCAATGAACATAACCTCAAACATTTGCAATGGCTTTCGCATTCACTTATTATCAGCTGTGTGGGAGCGTTTTTTGTGTGCTTGTTATTTTGGGTTCCTCAGAGGATTTTTGCGTTCATTCATTTCCGGGATTTTTTTGATGACCATAGAAAAAAGAGGGAGAGCGATGAGGAAAAAAAGGATTTAACCAGTGATAATAAATTGGTAGATGTCAAACAGTGAATTGGGCAAAGAAGAAGAGGAAGAAAAAGCTGAATGCCTGACCATAACATAGGGAAGTTTTTTGAGAAAAAACTAAACGAGTTTGAAAATGCTGCAGTGCTTTATTTTTCTTTTGCTGGAATATTTTTTGGTGCTTTTATCATTTTGTTTGACGCCATGTTTTGATGATAATTCGATTAAGTGACATGTAAGTGGCAGTGCCAGTGACAGTGGCAAAATACCCCAAAAAAACCCAACAATTTTGTGATTCCGATATTTTTTTCCTTTTTCCCTTGCAGTATTATTTCGTTCACAAAGTCAGTCTGCATGTTATCCCTGTGGTCGATGTTGTGGTAGGGGAGGGATGTGGGGAGTAGCAACATTGTCTGCCCAATTTATTTAGTCATTGTGCGTCAATATTTAAGGGTGCGTATTTTTTTTTGGCTCGCCTGCTTACTTGGCTGTAGTGATTTCGTGTAACTTATCTGTCAGTTTTTATTTTTCGTTTCATTTCTTCTTCCTTTTTTTTGGCTTTTTATATAAATATGTTTCCCTTTTCCCCGCCGCCTTGTTAACTTTTATAAGGATTGTCTTGTTAATGTTTGGCTAGTGGCAAGTCGAATATCGATAACGTTTATAATCACATTACCAAGCCAGACATATAAAACCCAAAATACAATAAAATGAAGTAGCAGCAGCAAAAACATTGCTAGGGGATTTATATACATATGTATGTAGCATATAAAGTAATATGTATATACTTATTTACTTACATTAAGTGACTTTAAAAATTAAAGCCATCAAACAGAGTTGCATTGGAGGGAAATATTCCATTTTAATATTTGTAATTTAACATTTCCATCTCCGGGGCACGAAAATAAATTTATATTAGTTTTAAGGATTTATTTTGAGATTAGAAAAAATATTAAAAATTAATTAAATCCCATTTATTTTACTTTTTTCCTATAGTGTGAACCACCCTGTTTTAGGTTAAAAACGATAATGATAAACGATCAGCTGTTTTGTAATATACCCGTCGTTTAGGGTTCACATACTGTAATATTGTTTACAATTAATAAGAAATGCCTAATTTATTGATTAAAAATGTGCAATAGTCTTTGCAATTAAATATATACATCTCTGAAGCAAACAATATATTAATTTCTGGGTTATATTTGAATCCCAGATGAAAACGATATAAAAAATCGTAAATAAATTAAATCACATTGATTTTATTATTTTCCTATAGTGTGAAGCACCCTGTGTTAAGTTAAAAACGATAACGATCAACGATCAGCTGTTTTGTAATATACACGCCGTAAAGGGTTCACATGCTGTAATATTGTTTACAATTGATAAGAAATGCTTAATAAAATGGATTTAATTGGGAAAAATCAATAATTTATTAAGAAATCTAATCAAAATATAACAAATAAAGTGGAAAATAAATTGAGTAACGTTTAAACCATGTGATTTAATTTAAATGTAATGTAATATTTTTATACTTGGTCTGTCCCCCTACTGCAAGAATATACTAGATTTTACTATTTTCTTCGATATCATAAAGGAAAATTCGTTCGTTCAATAATTTATTAAGAAATCTAATCAAAATATAACAAATAAAGTGGAAAATAAATTAAGTAACGTTTAAACCATGTGATTTAATTTAAATGTAATGTAATATTTTTATACTTGGTCTGTTCCCCTACTGCAAGAATATACAAGATTTTACTATTTTCTTCGATATCATAAAGGAAAATTCGTTCGTTCAATAATTTATTAAGAAATCTAATCAAAATATAACAAATAAAGTGGAAAATAAATTAAGTAACGTTTAAACCATGTGATTTAATTTAAATGTAATGTAATATTTTTATACTTGGTCTGTTCCCCTACTGCAAGAATATACAAGATTTTACTATTTTCTTCGATATCATAAAGGAAAATTCGTTCGTTCAATAATTTATTAAGAAATCTAATCAAAATATAACAAATAAAGTGGAAAATAAATTAAGTAACGTTTAAACCATGTGATTTAATTTAAATGTAATGTAATATTTTTATACTTGGTCTGTTCCCCTACTGCAAGAATATACAAGATTTTACTATTTTCTTCGATATCATAAAGGAAAATTCGTTATCGTAGTAAAAAGTAGTAGATTCTGGCAGTACGGGAATAGACCAACTGTGAAATGTTAATATTTTAAGTGCAACCTAATTGAAATGCGTTGTGTATACCTAAAAAATGAAAATGTGTTTAGATTATGGGTTTTTAATTTAATCCGAATAGTCTTATGGTGGTTCCTAAAAAAATCTTTAAAAAATTCACGCCTTATAGTTACTATTGACGGAGTTCAATGAGGTCATGCCACAAGAACAGCTGATGCACTCTATCAGCTGATCGTATTTGCTTGTCACACGATGTATCCAAAATTTATAGCTTGCTTTTGTTTATTTTTTTTTATTTATAGTCATCAAAATTTGTTTTCCAAAATTAAATACCTCATTAAAACAACATTTCAGATTTTTAATTAAAAACCCTAAACTTTTCTCTTATTAATAGTTTTACAAAAAATAAAACTTTTCTTGTTTAATAATTATCAAAACTGTTTATGAACAATATAATAGAAGTTAATATCCTTCATTGTAAAAAATTTACCAAA